CTTGGATTTGTTTTTGGATTTTGGGTTATTGTCAGCTTCAAGCGTCAAATTTGTTCTCATATTATTACATGCAAGTAGAAACTTTGTTGTTTGGTGTAGTTGCTTATTGGTTAATGGAATACAATCGTGATTCGTGTATGTGGTATTGAGAAAATCTAACTCGGGTGGTTCTTACATTGATAATTTTGTCAAAAAGTTTTATTATTTGGTCTGTGAATTTCATCAGTACCCATATGACTCGTTCCCATGAAGTAACGGTAATCGGTATTTGCTTTTCAAAAATCTCTTTCACAGAGTTCCAATTGGGATATTGTGGGTTGTGTTTCATGAGGAACTTGGACTGTAGTTTGTTGAAATTGGTATTTAGCCTTTTCTGAAACTCATTTTTTGATCACAGTCTGTTGTTGAAACTCCCTCATTTAATTATTAACACTAATGTTGTAGGGATAAAATCATGGCTATGAGTCATGTCAAAACATTTAGAAGCATTATCAATACCAGCGAAGCAGTTGGGATAGTGTCACGACGAACATTTGCTATTGGGGGCGGTAAAGCAAAGAAGGGTTCAAAAGGTGCTGCTCAAGGCGATGCACCAAAAGCATCAAATCTGGACAAAGAAGTTAAGTCTACTACAGTTGTCGGAGCAAATATTCTCAAAGACGGAACAGATCCTAAGATCTTGCCAGATGCTGAGTACCCTGATTGGTTGTGGCGTCTACTTGATAAACGCCCAGCATTGAGTGAATTAAGTAGGAAGAACATTGAAACTCTCCCTTACGAAGATCTCAAACGCTTTGTTAAGCTGGATAACCGAGCAAGGATTAAGGACAACAACTCTCTTAAGGCCAAGAACTAGTTAGATATTTTTTGGTTTGCAAAGAAATGAACTGAAAATCATCATCATCAAAAAGGCTGCTTCTGGGTTCGTGTATGATTCCAGGGCAGGTTAGATGTACTTTTCTGTGGAAATGCTCTTTTGTATGTTTTGAGTAATCTCAGTCTTGGAATTAACTTTTATTGATTGCCTCTTCACTGAACAAATTGGGAAAAAGTATTGAGGCTCTGTTCTT